CGGACATAAAATTTTATTTGATAAAACTAAAATTCTTGCATGTAATGAATTCTTCTACCAATGAAAAATCCGAGAGTCTATAGAAATCTATAAGCAACCTAACAATCTTAACCGTAAATCAGGTCTCTACCTGTCCACAATATGGGAATCAGTCATCCGAAACGGTGTTTGTGCACCTCATTTAGCTCCGCCCCCTGCCCCCTAAACAATGTAAAAGTAGGTACAGAGTGAAATGCGAGCCAGTTTGAGTTAAACTCTGAAGAAGCCAACAGTTCGACTCAACAAAAACGACGCAGAAATAATCCAGAAGTTTTATAAATAGTACATCTGAAACTGTATACCCGTTTAATCAGGGGGATGAAGTCCAACCAAGTACTCAAGCAATCAATAACTTTCAGTGAGGGCTTCCGCATTTACAGTATACAAATTGAGTAAAATGATGTCAGATATATAGTACCAGTTATTTGCGGAAAAAATATTTTAAGGCCCAAACATTACCTCAATAAATGACGTCAAACTGAAAGCGCATACACGCTGTACGAAATATAGTGCGCGCTGTTGAAACACGCATTTTCATACTTCCCTGTCGTATCGACGAAAACCATTAAATTTTACCCAAACTCGGCCGTGCATATAAATCAAAGTTGATTATAGCGCCTCGCCTCATTGCTCGTTGAATAATATTTTTAAAACTCTAGTGGAATAAAATATTCCGGTTTTCCGTGGAAAATTTAAATTTAGTTTTGGAACTGCGAACAAGGAATGAATTCATCTGAACCATCATCGTGTACAGTTCGTCCCATTTTGATAGATGGGTGAATTTTTTGTATTCTATTCGTATTTTTTGTAATAAAATAATAAAAATAATAATAATTTCTATAAATAAGTACTTCTCATAAAATTTTACGTTTACAATTATGCGTTTTGAATAGCATATAAAAAGCACATACCTATAAATACAATACAGCGTATTCAATTAAAAAAACATTTTAACTTTTTCTGAGTGTTTAAAGAGATATAAAAAATAAAGGTGAATTTTCTAAAATGATTTTCTTCCTGTAGCACCTAATTCAAATTCCCTTGCATACACCTTTTACGTCATCTTCGAGTAAGGCTTATATAAAATATGAGTGATCTACATTCAAAAATAATGGCACTATCATAATTTGCAAAAGCTGTTAGCTTTAGGTATGTATTATTATTAATAAAAAATGTTGAAGGATTTCGAAACGAATTCAAAACAAAATTCAAAAATGCGGTGTAATCTGTATACTTTAAAATATTTGTAAATTGTGCATCCTAACAATCTTTCTGATAACTGTTGAAACCAATGAGATAATGAACTCTATTCTATCTTTGTTTCATCCTGTACATATAGATCATGACCTGTTCAAACCATAATAATTTTTAAGGTAAGGTAATTTGTGACAACTCATTTCTACTTTAGACTTCACTTATCTGTAGGGCCACTTTCATTTTAAAAGATCAAACAAAGTTTTGAAACGGCTTCTTTTTGCCCAGAAAAGAAAAAGTAAGATTTTGAGTTGTTTGAACAGCACTACTCAAATGCTGTTATATTGAATGCAGAACTAAATTAAAAAATTCTTACATGCGAAGCCATCTGAAGAATCGCTTGAGTTTGAAACGTCTGCTACTATTTAGTTAGTTCTGGTCAATTAAGTCGAAACAAGATAATTGCAAAAAGTACTAATGTGCCATACATTTTTTGTATATTGAGGTAGTGAGAGTGAACGCGCCAACCAGTTAGTGTCCTTTTTAATTTTTTACAAACTTTTGATACGTTAATGGCTTAAATAATTTTCACCTTTTATTTCCAATTCAAATTTCAAGACAATTTCCAGGCGAATAGAATAGGACCTTATTAACCACACACACAAAATAGGTTGAAATGTACGTGTTTTAAACCGCGTTCTGAGTTAAAAAGATTTTCATTTTTCATTTACTTTTTAATTTACTTAGTTTGCTATGACGTCAGTTTGGAGTAACCTGCTAAATTTAGAAAATACTTTAATGATGAGCCCCGTGTTCTTAAAGTAATAACACTCAAGTTTAAGGATTGGTGTATAATAAAAAGACAAACAAGACCTAAAAAGTGATCAATTTGCTATGGTGTGTAAAAACTGAATTGATCCATTTTCATTACGCGATAATATGAACGTTAAAACAACCGATTAATGCTTATGTCAGCTACCGGTGCTGCGAACTGACCGCACAAAAGTTGCATTAAGCATCTGAGTTCGAGCAGTCTATTTGACTATCCGGATTAACACAATACGCTGGTAATGCTGTCTAAAATCAGTGTTTATAAACCGCTCAAAGAAACGAATAGGTTCAAAAGTTAACTAAATCGAAAATGCAAAACTGTAATGAGGATAATCTTTCCATTAATATAAACAGTTCATACGTGGTAAGAACTTTCTATAGGTAACTGTTGGCGTTTGTGTGTCAGATGCCAAAAAAAGTTTTTTTTGACCCACCTTAGTCTTCGCACTTAACTTTAGGGAATTTTTCAAACATGCGTTTTAAGTTCTCAGTCTTTGGACCAATCTCGTAACATGCAACGAGACGAATCGTCTTAGTGTTACTTTAGCATTGCTAGCTGTTGCCTCTAACAACGAATCTACGATCTCGATGGTATTTAGGTCAGAGTCTTATACAAATCTGGTATCTCATGCATGGCACTAGCTGGTTGTGCCTGCTTTATTGCTATTATAGTGCCAATTTCACTAATTTTGTGACTTGGTTTTGAATTTCTGGGAGCAGCAACTTTCGTTGTAGTTGTAGTTGCATAAGTTTGATGAGATGGTCGAGTTGAGGGTCCTATCTTCTGTTCACTAGTTACCAATTTACGACCAGTTGTTGGTATCTCGTTTACAAAAATCCGCGATGTCACCATTTTTACTGTTGTCGCTTTAGTTTATTCTTATAATACCTAGATTGTCTGGAATAATTCCTTTTCTTTCAATTTCAACTACTTACGGAATGCTACACCTTAGTCAGTGGAACACAATTACACAATATGGCTGCTATAAATGTATTTAAAAAATTAAGCTGTTGAGAGTTGGATACCCTAGCTATAGTAAGAGAAAAACTTTCAAAGATCAGATGGACTTAAAATATTTAAATAACTTGAACATATTTTTTTTTTGGATTATTTATTTCTGTGGATTTTTAAAATCTTTATTTGTGATTTTTTTATTTTTTGTTTGTATATATGGAACACAACCTTAAATATAGTTTCTCCTCTATTAGAATAATAATAAGATCAGGAATAAGAATTAGAAAAAATTTCATGACGACTCTAAAATTGCTCGTTTTTATTTACTTCGCACCATTGGTGCTCCAACATATTTTCTAGCAAAATATCTATCTAGCTTCTATATGAAAATTCTTTAAAGGGAAGACGGATAGTTTCGTACTTAATTCCTTTCACTTCATTGAACAATTAAAAGTAATGACTTTAACGATATTCTGGAAACAAACCTTCTTATCTTAATTGGAAAATGCTTGTCTGAAATTTATTTTTCTTGTAACAGGCAAATTTATGAAATAATTGTTCTTCATTATCAAAAGTTATAGCGAATATATTTGTGGAAGCTTTTGAGAAGAAAATCTTAACACCTTCCATTTAAAACCGCAATTATGAAAACTCTAAGTTGACGATATTCTTGTTGTTTGACCTCATGGTCATACACCGTAACATGCGTTTTACAATTGAATTAGAAAGTAATGATTATCTCCTTTTCTTAGATATCCCCACAGAAAATCCTGTTTTCAGAAAACCTAAGCACACAGACCTATAGCTTAATGCATTGTCACATCACCATGCGACCCGAAAATCATCGGTTATCAACTGTCTTGTTTAGAAAGCCGTAAAACTATCTAAATCCGAGTAACTGAACCCAGAATTAGAATACCTACATATTCCATCACACCACAATATCCACTTCACCACAACCTTCCAAAGAAAATGAGTCCGAAATGAGTCCCCAAGAACCCACTTTGGTCCTTCTCTACATTAAAAATATCACAGGCCACGTATTAAAAGTTCTTAAGAAATATCCAAAAATCCAATCGAAAAATCTCGAAATATATTTGAGAAAGCAGGAGTGTAGAGGATTCTATCCACTTGCGCCAAATTGTCATTTGCCATTGGAGAAATCGGACGAAAAATATCAACTAGTTAAAAAACATGAAATAGCCTTAAGACTATGACACAAAATCACCAATATTGAAATCATTCATTAGAGACAATGTTCATGTCCCTCCGCTCAGCTCCGGCCCCATCAAGCAAGTATAGATTAGAATGCGAGCCAGTTTCAGTTCTCTGGGGAATCCAGAAGATCTGTAAATAGTACTTCTGTGTCTTTAATTCCCTCCCACTTCCATTCGAAGTTTTGTCCGTTCCATTTTCTGGCAGTCCTTTGCTATCAAGCTTAATTCGAGATATAATTTTGCAAATTTTATTGCTAATAAAGCTTAAGGCATATTTGTTATTATTATTATATGCTGAAAAAGGAGATACTGGAAGAATAAATCTCGGTGTACCAAATTTGTTGTCCACCAAAATCCTCTTAAAAGAGAAAATAAATACAGTGGATTGTGCAGATTTTTTTTAGTTTATGTTATATACTTCTGAGCATAGTGCATATCTTCAAATCAGGTATTAAACGTCGTATTAAAACATGTGGCATAAGCGATTTATTGAAATGAAACATTGGAAAATTTGGTGTTTAGCGTTAGCTTCAATCGAAGTAACCATATAGAGATTAACGATCTTGATGATAGGTGTGATTCTATTTTTAAGAGAATTTTTTTTAATTCGTTCGACGACTATTTATTTTTAGTAAATGACTGCGTGGGGGGAAAAGAAGTAGTGAGAATTGCCGATGGGCATTTTTTCTCTGCATATGACAAGTTGAACTTTTTTTTACCAACGTACGTACCATATGAATTTATCTGAAACGGTTTTTTTTCAGCAATTAAGGCATCGCTGCTGATTCAAAAATGGTACAGAAGATACATGGCAAGATTGGAGGTAAGGCGGAGGTACACCTGGACCATATTTCAGAAACTGGAATACGCCGGGGAACAGGACCAAGTGAAGGTACGATTAATGTGAACCTTGTTAAATACGAAGTAAAAAATATCACCAAATTAGAGCTTCTAGCACCACTAGACAAGAGCTAAGAAAAGTAGTTAGCAAATATCCAAGGTGCATAGAGATTAATGGTGACCTAATTGAAATAAATATTTAATTTACTTTTTGTTTTAAACACTTTGTAATATTCTGTACAGGGTGGGTCAATGATAGAGCAATAGTATATTATGCAATAAGTGTGATAAATGGCATTTGAGTCACGAGTTTATTTTCCTCGAGCGTGTTTAATAAACGAGTGCCTTTAAAAGTTTGCCAAACGTATTGCATAATATACTTTTTACAGTTGTCAAGTAAAAAATTTTGGGTAAAATTTTGTCATGGCTAGAGAAAAGGGTAAAAATTGGAGAAAAGTTCAAATAAGTTGCACAGTATTAAAAATAAGTATATAACATACCTACTTAATGATTTACTTCCATCTGTAAAATACCTAATTACCCACCGATCTAGTGTGCGGGAAGCTTCACTTTACCACGTCAGTTTCGTTTCCCATGAATCCGAGCCATTTCGGACATTTCCGGGATTTTACCGCACGGATTTGACGGTTGTCAATTCTGACGGTCATGTCGGTGAATGTATTTTGTGTTGTTTTACAAGAATTTACCCAAAAACTAACGGTCGAAGAAAAAGTATAGGATGCAACACGTTCGGTAAACTTTTTAATTCACTCGTTTATTAAAAACTCGCTCCGCTGCGCTCCGCTCGTGTCAAATGAACTCGTGCGTCAAATGCCGCTTACCGCACTTGTTGACTAATATACTATTAAATTGTGCATTCTAACAATCTTTATAACTTTTGTAACTACCATTTTCTCATGATTTTTGAAATCATCGAGATAACGAAGTTTACTTTATGGTTAACTCAACTTGTACATTCCTCAATTTAATTGACTAAGAAAAAAAACTAAGAAATTTTATCGATTTGAATTAATAAAAAACTCCAATGAAACGAATTTTTGAACAGTTAGTCGTTAGATTTATTCATGCCCTTGTTTTAAGACGATGTTAAAAAATAAATGCCCCTTAAAAATATTTGTTGTCTTTTTCATAAATATTATTGAAATTTGCATAATTTAAATTTGTTTGAAAATTTTTCTTTAAAATTAGTGTAGTTAGGTTCTAGTTCTGAATAAGAATTCGTTAAGACGTTATTCTGTAAAAACTGTTTAAGAGTAAATGTACTAATTTTCCTTACAGCTATATAATTTCTTTAACGCTTTATTGACTCATATACCCCACACCGCAAACAGAAATTTTAATTCCAAAGAAAATTCTAGATCTTCGTCGTTAGGTGAGTGTATGCACCATAAACAAACACAAGAAATAAAAGAAAATTTCCTTTCCAGAAAATTTAGACTTGGAATTCGAAGACGAATCTCCAGATGAGGAATATTCCTACGACCAAGAAGACAAGAAGACTTTGAGAAACTTCAGTCTGGAGTATCCGTACACCGAGAAAAACGTGACGCAGTTGATAGAGATATACAGGAAGCACAGGGTAAGCTGTCCTAAGCTTTTTCGAGTTTTGCGGTCAAAGATTCAAACCATTAAAAGCGAACCAATTAAGGTTTCTTTAGCATTTCAGGCTGCATCCGAAGATGGTAGCTGACGTCTTAAAAAGGTCGATAACTACGTTGAGGAAGCTTCCGAATATAAATGTCGCCTCCACCGCCATTTCGAAGCAAATCACAATTTGCGGGGACCTGCACGGAAAGTTCGATGATTTGTTGGTGATATTGCACAAGGTGAGAACGAAATATTAAAAAAGAAACCTTATTAGCGAATCGAATGGTCCAAGAAATTTGATTAATAAGAGAACTCTTAACCCTCAAGAAAAGTTGGATTTTGGGAAAAAAATTCTCGTTACATATTATTCGCTTTGATAGCGCTTCCGTAGGCAGAATTATAATTGGACGTAATCCACAATAAGAAAAACGCTAACAGAATTATTTTGGGTGGGTGTTCTTCCAGTTTGCAGCCTCTCTTCTAGTGATATTAGGGAAGCTTCGTTTCCCATTTTATGAAATTTAAAATCAAAACAAAATTTCAGTTAGCTGGTAGCTGACATTTTTACGTTTTGACATGCGTACCTTTTTTCAAATATTTAATATTATCGCTTATTTCTCCATTGAAAAGTGCGTTTTATTACTAAGTCGATCTTTCACACAGACTGCCATAAGCTTCTGAGCTTAACTGAAACTGGCTCGCACTGTACTCTGTACCTGCTTATATACTGTTTGAGGTAGACGGAGTTAAAGGAATGACGTGAACATCATCTCGGATGGCTGATTCCCATATTAGTGAATGGTAAAGACCTGAGTCGCGGTTAATATTGTTTGTTTGTTCAGCGAAAGGGTCCTTATAAGTATCCCCCTAAGAATTTTTGTGAAATCTAAAATCGTAATTAATAATCAAAATTTAAAGTGAATAATTTCCCGCTAAAAACCTTATTTGAACATTTTAGCTGTTGGTGACTTCACGAGGTACGTTTTCGTTTTGACAGTTATTTGCTTAACATTTTTTCGTAAGTTTTCAGTTATTTTTGAGCTGAAAATAATTTACTATTATTGGATCGTGCCAGTCTGTAAAACCACAACCATTTCTGCTCCGGGAAAAACATTTATTAAATTACCTATTCAAGAAAAATAAGTAAAAATATGGCTGAAAGTCATTAGACCCGAACATTTCTATAAAAGTCTCATTTACCTTTGTGAAGACCATTTTTACTTAAGTTTATTTACTATTTATTTAAAAATTTAAGGGACTTAAAAAAACAGTTCCACATATTTTGCACGCGAAGAATACAGAAAATGGACTTGTTCACCATCTAATCGAATGGTAGGAGTAAAAAGGATAAGGCAGTGTATTATGCAACATAATTTAAGCGAAACCAGTACTTCAAACTCTGCACATAGATTGATGTCACATTCAAGAAGAATATTACATATTAATAAAAATGTGAATAGCCAATTTTCTGGAAGAATGCAAATAAACCTGCGGAAAAAGTGTCATCGCTCTTTCACCTCTAAAACCAAACAAAAAACTAGAAAAATAACTTGCGTATTTATTTTGGTGACATGTTTTCATAGTCTGAATATTAAATATTTAAGTGAATTTATGATAGCTCAAATTATTGAAAAAACCGGTACGTATTATAATTACTTATTGAATAATTAATTACTTAATATAATTACTTATTGTATAATTATATTACTTATTACAATTACTTATCAATAGTTTTCACATTGGAGATAAGCAATCACAATTGCATTACTCAAAACACAATTCATAGTCCAGCAATTCCAGGATTATTAAAATGAGTTGAACCTTTTTGGAGACATTTATTCAAGAACATGTTCGAAAAACCTCCACCATTTTCCTTGCAGAGATAGAACAAACAGCGTTAAACTAAGATTTCAATTTTTCTCGGATTTAAGATCTGATTTATTGTAAGGTTATCTTTAGAGATTTTCGTAGAAAGTGCGTTTTAAAATTCAAAATAACAATTACGCCCCCGGGCAGTCATTTCATCTACTCGAAAATAATTTCCAGCATTTTCTCATGGTCAATTTACTCGGATATTTTTTTCAAATTTCTGAAATTGTCTGTTTCATTAATATCGTACCTCATTGCCTTAACTGGAACACTCTGTACAATGACTATTGCCAAAATTTCATAAAGACATATGTCATGATATTTCATGGCTTTACCTGACCCAATATGTCAAAATAATTTGATTTTTTAAGAAAATTGCTTTTATGTCGAAAAGTTTAACACAAAGGTATCTGAATTTTATATATTAACTGAAAGGAATTTTAAGCAAACATTCGAAATTTTTTATTTATTTGTCAATTTTTTATAAAGCGGTATGATATAATGTTTAAAACAATCTGTACAGCGCAGAATGCTGCTAGGCTACAAGAAACTAGTGCTAGAAACTATAGCCTTAATTTCAGCTTTGTAGGCCCCTCAGTAATAAGAATTTTTATTATATATTTTTATTATAGTTTATTTTAGCCGAAAAATATAGACATCAATTAATATTCCGATAATCGCTAGATGTACGTAAATCGTTGCTTCTTTTTAACCTAATCATAAGCATAAGCATATCTTGAAGGTTTTTTGTGTAAAATTTAGACACGCCAATAACAGTCTTTCTAAATAAAATACTACGCCATGTCTTTACTGTAACTAGAAAGTGAATCTTGTTGCTGCAAAACGCTGCAGAGATTTTTATTTAAAAAATACCACCATAACCCGGTGTATCCGTAACTTCTGTATTTTAGAAAATTATTTCCAGTTGTGGCAAATTCCAATTTTTTTCTCTATCTCGTTTTTCAAAATAAATCAAATCTCCAATCCCGGTTTCAGACAACTCTAACGATTGAAACACACTCCGAAGTCAATTATTTACAAAATGTTATACGGATTTCGAACACGCAGGCATCATCAGACAAAGAAATTTTTAAAGACGCTCAAGCACACAAAAACACAGTGGATGGCAGTGGCGGGGTTTTCACTAGATTAACATAGACCTTACTCATTCTTTCTTTAAGAAAATAAAAAAGGAATTTAGATATGTGCTTCTTAATTTACATAAAGAAGGAATTTCTAGTCGACCCGTAGTGTCATTCGCGGGTTACCTTTGTTACAATCTACATAAATAAGAACTAAAAGTTCAGATTTTCATGAAATTATATATTATGACATGACAATTTTTTCGACAACACCGTGTCTTTATCAAATGTAATATTTACAAATTACCTGCTACTATATATACCGAAAAATGACCATAAAACCTTAATTAATGTTTTTGCGAGAATTTAAGTTCAATAAAGGACAGGTATTTAAATCTAATTGAGCGTTAAGCAATACATTTGAATGTCTCATTTTGTTAATTTCCATAGCTTCCAATAAATTTAATTTTCTACTTTTTGTGGCTGTGTGTAATATATCAAAATTGTCGTCAAAAATGTGTTTTTCTGTGTTTAAGTGTGTAGCATAATTAGAATATAGACTATTGTTTTTAAACGCTCTTATATGTTCGTTAATGCGTTTCTTGAAGGATCTACCTGTTTGTCCAATATAAATTTTAGGACAAGATCCACATTTCAACCTGTGGACACCTGTTTTTTGAGATTTTGGACATTTCGATTTATTGTTTTTTAAATATTTTCCTATTATGTTGTTAGTTCTGAAAGCTATTTTTAAACCACATTTTGACCAATGTTTTGAAACTTTTTCACTAGGTTCTCCTATGTATGTAATTGTTTTAAATTGTTCGTGTTCTGTATTTGGTTTCGGATAAATAGAGTTTATTGTTGTCTGTATTTGTTTTTTTGTTCAGTGCTATTTGTTTAATGATATTAAGTTCTTTGTTGTAATTTTCTGTTGAGAGTGGCATATTAAGAAGTCTGTGTATAAAAAACAATAAATCGAAATGTCCAAAATCCCAAAAATCAAGTGTCTACAGGTTGAAATGTGGATCTTGTGTAATATTATAAGTTCCACACAGATTTTAAACCAAAATTTGCAATAAAAAATTCTTTTGAATTAATCAACAAAATTAAAGATATCAAAATCCCTTCTAACGCAACACTATTGTCTTTTGATGTACAAAACTTATTTCCCAATATTCCACCTATGGATGTAATAGATTTAGTAGATTTTACCCTAACTCGGAAACAGGTTAACCCATTGTTGAAACAAGATTTATTAGATTGCTTAATAGTATCTTTAGACCAAAATTATTTTGAATTTAATGGACAGATTTATATCTCTAAAGAAGGTTTGATTATGGGAAACCCACTTAGTCCTTTGTTAGCCGAGATTTTTATGGATAATATGGAAAATATCATACTAGAACATCCTTTAAGTAAAAGTTTTTATGGTGGTATAGATATGTGGACGATGTCTTTTCTTGCTTTGTTGGAACGGACAGACAATTGAATTCCTTTTTAAATTACATTAACTCAATACATAATCGTATAAAATTCACTATCGAGATTGAACAGGATAACTCTATTAATTTTTTAGACTTAACTATTACGAAAGTGCAAAACAAATTAGATTTTTCAATATATCGTAAACCTTCACACACGGACACAGTCATACGTAACAGCTCAAATTACCCTTATACACACAAAATGGCTGCATTTAACTCTTTTATACACAGACTTCTTAATACGCCACTCTCAACAGAAAATTACAACAAAGAACTTAATATCATTAAACAAATAGCACTGAACAACGGCTACAATCCGTCCATTATAGATAAAATTATAAATAAAAAACAAATACAGACAACAGTAAACTCTATTTATCCGAAACCAAATACAGAACACGAACAATTTAAAACAATTACATACATAGGAGAACCTAGCGAAAAAGTTTCAAAACATTTGTCAAAATGTGGTTTAAAAATAGCTTTCAGAACTAACAACAGAATAGGAAAATATTTAAAAAACAATGAATCGAAATGTCCAAAATCCCAAAAATCAGGTATCTACAGGTTGAAATGTGGATTTTGTCCTAAAATTTATATTGAACAAACAGGTAGATCCTTCAAGAAACGTATTAACGAACATATAAGAGCATTTAAAAACAATAGTCTATATTCTAATTATGCTACACACTTAAACACAGAAAAACACATTTTTGACGACAATTTTGATATATTACACACAGCCACAAAAACCAGAAAATTAAATTTATTGGATGCCATGGAGATTAACAAAAATTAACA